GGGCTTTCCCAAGCTAACTGCTTATAATGCAGAAATTTCCCCTCCACTGTCTGATAATGAACTCGAGTCTCTTCACACTGAAACATGGGCTGTGGGTGTACCAGGATACAGGGGAGTCTGTACACAGCAAAATCAAGCAGGCCCACTCAGTCTTCCATTCATTCCACTAAAATGTGCTCAGTCTCTATCATATCCGAAGCATGATGCTCAGCACTGATACACTACAGCTCTCTGCTCCTCCCAATTAAATAGTGGCCCCGGGCAGCTTCCCAGCTAGAGAGTGAAAGAACTGTGAATCAAACACAACAAGATATGAAGTTACAATTGAGAGAGCTAGCTGGGGCTGTGAGGAAGGCCCCCTGCATCCCAGAAATGACACTCATACAGGATTTAAAGGATAAATGCAAGTCATTGAGGTAACAAGAGGCAAGAGCCTTCCAGGAAAAGAAACAGTGTGTCAAAAGCTCTAAGAAAAAGCATGGTGCTGGGGAGGACAGAGGCAGTGAAGGCACGAGGCTACGTGTGAAGGGTCCGAGGGAACACTGAGGAAACACCGTGGTTGCTGGAGCCGCTAGAAAGGGTTGGCCCTTAAGGAGTTTGTCTTTATCCTGAAATTTTAATGAGAAGGTAATTAAGGGTTTTAGGCAAAGTGAGTACAAGATCCCCAACTTGCAGTTTAAAAAACTAACTCAGGCTACCACAGGGAACATGGACTGGAGAGGAAGCCAGCTCGGACAAAAGACGCCTGTATCTCCATGTCAAGAAGCTTGTACCTAGATGTCCCCTCAAAGCCTCACAGCCAGAGCTTTGGGGCGGTGACTGAATCATGGGCATGTGACACTGCATAAGCCGGCTGAAAGGCTGACAGCTGGACATGAGGTTGGGAAGCGATGCCTGATGGGAAAAGGCGGGTCACTGTGGGTGTGGCCTAGAAAGGTTATATATCCCTCCTCTTTCCTTCTGCTCTGCTCTGCTTCCTGCCTGCTATGCCATGAGCTCTTCTGGCTTTGCCATGCCACTCTGCTTTGGAGCCAGTCTACAGTAGTGGGCCCTCAAGTTACAACCAGCCTCACATACGAACAACTTGGGTTATGACCAGAATTTTAGTTTTAACTTACAACCAAAGTCTTCAGTTACAACCTATACGCCAGCCTTTCCTGTGTGGGGTTAACTGAGAAATCCTGGGCCAATGTCTCTCTAAGGACCCTGAGATCTGCCTGGAAGAAAGTGTGACCTAAAATTATACAGGAGACTTTGAAGGCTGTGAGGAGGAGCTGAGCCTTCAGTTGACCCTGTGGTTGACGGCACTGTCACTATAGCAGCATCCATAGGCTTGCAGGTAGACAGTGGTGATGTTGCGGAACTGGTGGAGGGACACTCAGGAATTGTCTACAGAGGAACTTCAGCAACTTCCGGCTAAGCAACAGAGAATGGCAGCTGAGGAGCTTTCTGAGGAGGAGTGGGGAGTATCAGGAATCAGTGCAGCAAAGTTCTTCTTCTGAAATAAAGGAAATCCTGAAAAATGGACAGAGCTACAAACATTTGTAGAGAAGACCCACCCAGACAGAGAAAAAGCCAATTGTTGCACTCACTTGCTTAATGACAATGTCATGTCATACAACAGGACAGTGTTAAAGAAAAGACAGAAACAGACAACCTTGGACCAGTTTTTAGTTCTGAAAAGGTAGAGACCTAGTGAGCCAGAAGCAGGTCTTAGTGGGCTACAGACTCTCCCAAGGAGAGAAAGGACACCCGAGAGCCAGATTCCTGATGCTCGTATGGAAGGGAACTCCTTCCAAACAGTGACCACCTTCCATTTCGTTTTCCCTTCCTGCAAGCCAAAGACGTCAATCTGAATGGTGAGTACAGTATGAAATTGCTGTTTCTGGTATAACTTTTTGGTGAATACACTAGGAAAATTATTAGTGTTTCTGGTAAACTACACACATTATACAACCCTTATGTATTATGAAAAGTTAGTGAAGGGGAGCTTTGGGAGGTTGGGAATGCATTATGGGGATTCCCATTATTTCTTATGAAAAGTCTTGACTTACAATTAAGTTACAATCAGCCCTTGGGAACGAAGTGAGTTCATAAGTCAAAGGTTCACTGAACTATGGTCTGAATCCTCTACAAACTGTGAGCCAAAACAAACCTCTCCTTCTTTAACTTGTGGGTGTCAAGTATTTTGTCCCTGCGAGGAGAACATAACCAGGACAAAGTCTAATAAGAGACATTTGGAGAATTCTAGGCAGGAGGCTGCTGTCGCTTAGAATAGGATGGTAAAGAGAATAGCAGGAAATAAAACAAGGGTATGAGAAAGAAATTACCTACATAATCATTAAATTTTCCTTCAGCTCGGCTGTAGTTTCAATGTCCCCTCCAAAACTCATGTTGAAAATGAGTTTCCATAGTAACAGAATCAAAAAGTGGGCCTTCTAAGAGGTGATCAGGCGACGACCACTCTGCCCTCATGAGTGGACCAATGCTGCTGTAGAAGGAGAGGGTTACTTCTTCCCGGAGTGGTTTCCTGGTAAGATGGGCGAGCGAGTTCGGCACACTCTCCTCTCTGTCTCGTGTGCTACCTTGTCCTTCTGCCTTCTGCTATGGATGATCCTTGCCAGGTGCCAGCGCCATGCTCTTGGACTTCCCAACCTCCAGAACTGTGAGCCAAATAAGCTTCTATTGTTTATAAATTACCCAGTCTGTAGTATTCTACTACAGCAGTGAAAATGGACAAAAACAAGCTTTATCCAATGGCAACTTCTTAAGAATAATGCATCTCTATAAGTAAATAAGAACAGCAAACCAAAGCAAAACAAGAACAGTACATGTCTGATGCCAATATCATGGCTTGGCTTTAGGGTTTTATGATCCTGTCATCACAAGATCAGAACGAAGGCCTGAGCACAGAGAAGGTGACGGCTGACATACCATCCCACACTCCAGATGTTATCCTTAACATCTGGAACCTTTCCTTCCTCCATTCCTGCTGCCTGGAGGACTCTGATCCTGGGTCGCTCTAACACATGCAGTAATAACAAGCCAATGCCATGTAGGCGCAAAGACTGTGGCAGAGTGGCCATCCATTTATTGTTCCTCCAGCACACTTTCATTTACTACCTGTTTTTTGGGGGGGGGTAGGGGTACCAGGGATTGAACTCGGGACCTTGCGCTTGTGAGGCAGGTGGCAGAACCACTGAGTTAAGTCCCCAGCCCCTTGCCTGCTATGTTACTGCCAAGCTCCAACCAGGTGCTGCCTTCCAGGGGTTCACAGTCTGACCAGAGGAAAATATGTGAACAAATAATTCTTGTTTAATAGTGCAGTAAAAGAGATATGAGGTGTGACTGAAAAATATGGTGAATGCTTAAATGTTTAAAAATTTATTACAGTAAAAGACACACTGTCATTCATCCCCCTCAAAATATTCCCCCCTTGCTTCAAACACGTTTATCCTATTGTTCTTGCCACTTTCTGAAGCAGTTCTGAAATTCTTCTTTTATGTTTTTAGTTGTGCTGTTTTGGCTGCCTTGATGTCCAGAGCTGATTCAAAATGTTTACCTTTCATGGTCATTTTGACTTTAGGGGAGAGCCAGAAGTCACTCATTGTTGAACCTGGAGAATAAGGTGGATGAGGCCACACCATAATGTTTTTATAAACCTGCCTCTCTGTTGGATAGGACTTGGCAACTGCATTCACCATATTTTTGATCACATCTCTTAGAGACACTCCTGAAAGAGCACTTCCAGAACTGCTTCAGAAAGTGGCAAGAATGGCAGGGTAAGTGGGGTTGAAGCAAGAGGGAGTATTCTGGGCTGGGGGTTTAGCTTAGTGTTTCTGGCACCTGCCTCACTAGCACCAAGGTCCTGAGTTCAATCCCCGGTACCAAAAAAAAAAAAAAGAGGGAGTATTCTAAGGGAGATTCATGGCAATGCACCTTTTATTGTAATAATTTTTAAATTTTAAATATTTACCATATATTTTGACCACATCTTGTATATACAAATTTAGGAAGAGAAAAGAACAGATGTTTAATCGATATGTCCAGGGAGTAGATATTTGGAAGGGGCAACTGGGGAAGCTTTATAGAAATGAAGATGCTTTAGCTGGATCTTGAAAAGTAAATAAGAATTTATCATAAAGACAAGGAAACGGCATTCTGGGCAGGTAGAACAGCATGTGCAAATGTGAAGAGGAAATTAAAACAGCAGCTTTCTTTGGAAAATGTAAATCACTTGGTAATAACAGAGTACGAAGAAATGAGGAGCAGGGGAAAGTGGGCAGGTGGCCGCTGATAAAGTTCTATTGTGTATATTCCCAGAGAGTTCAGATCTTCAGATCTTATGCGCTACCTGAAGAAATTTAAACTTTATCCTCTGGGCCGTAATTAGGAAGGATTAGCCCATCCAAGACTGATGTCCTGCAGACAGGAATAGGAAGTATCCTTCTATAAACATCCATGAGAATCACCTGTGGCCCAGCACCTACAAGTCTCAATCCTGGTCAAAAACAAAGGTTGAATCTCAGTACAGTGGACCCTCTCCTTACGACCGGCCTCACATATGAACAACTTCGGTAATTAATGGAAGATTCTTCTGCCTCTTGTTATCTATAACATATACCCAGTAAACATCCAGATCTCAGCTGTAGTTACTTACAACCAACTTGAGTTGCAACCAGCCCTCAGGAACTGATTGAGTTTTTAAGTCAAGGTTCCACTGTACTCCATTCAGGCTGACAAGAGTCTAGCTCTTTCCCAACCACGAGCTAAAGTGTTGCATCTTCTTCCTAGCCAGAGGTCATTCAACTGCATCTGGAAGGCTGCTATCCAAGCTGCCAGTCATAGCTACAGGGGCTTTCTACTGCCCAAAGAGGCTGAATTGATAAGAGGCGCTGAAGCCAAGTTCTACGATGTCTCTGTGCTATTAAATCACAGTCTTAGAGTCATACCAAGGGAGGGGTTGGTGAATCCCTAACTGGTCAAATAAAGAGCCTAACCTGGTTTCAGGATACTCTTCCCAAAGTCTAGAATGGCTAGGGTTCCAATGGAAAGGCAACGGGATTCCTGCTGGCTGCTCCTTGTCTTTCTCCATGAGCTTCTCCACGACTGCTGCCGCAGCAGGTCTGGTGAGTGTCTGGCCATTTGCTCTTAAATACAAGGCGGATGGTGAAGAAAGATGTAACAGAAGTTGCATAAACAGTGTTATAAAGACCAAGTGGGGAACTAGGGGAAGATGTTCTAGGAGAAGTTCATAATAGGGAAGCTTTTTCAAAAGCTCTTGAATTAGTCCACAGAGCAGACACCAAGCCACAAACTAACACAGTAGCAGTGAGATAAGGAAAGAGGGAATGCAAACAAGAAACACCTATTAAATGAAATTGGATCTAGAGAGTAAAATTCAAGCATAAGACCTTGCAGTCCATCCCCAGTGACTGAGCAGTTGATAATGCCAAACTGTGACCAGGAACAGAAGAGGGGCAAGGAGTAGACTTTAAATCTGAACACGCGGACAGCAAGGAGGCTACAGGCCCCTGAGGACAGTACCCAGTAGGATCAGGTACTAGGTCTAATTTTCCTTCATTTTACTTGACATTATTTCCCCAAGAACTAGTGTAGTCCCTAGCCCACAGTGGTAGTTGCTCAATAAATACCTGATGCATGAATTGTCAAACACTTATGTTCCATGGAATCATCAGGATTTGAGAGAAGCATAGTTTTGCTGGCAGCGGGACATGTTCATTTAGGTGACAAGTCCTACAAATGTAAAAGGCAACTTCTAGTGCGTCAAATCCTTATTTTAAATTTAAATTTGACTTTGATTTTATTTTGTGGATTCTCAACTTATACTAAATTTTATAGCTCATACAGAAGTACTGTGTTTTTTTTTTCTGAATCCATAAATATCTTTGGCCTTTGGATTTTAAAAAGTCCTCCAACAATTTCCATGTCAGGCAGCTGGATATATCTGTGAATGACAGTTATTTCAGTTCTTACTGACTTTGGGTGTTGTAGTCAAAGTGTATGTCAGGCCATAACAAGAAAAACCAATTAGGAAATTTATAAATTAGAATTAACAACTAATTAATTAACAGTATTTTGTGTTCTCTGAACATGTTATATACATTACATGTATATATGATCAGAGTCGTCTGAACCCTAGAATTAGAGACATTCAAGCAAAATAATCAGATGATGCATATTTTATAAGAAACAGCCATTGCTTTATTCATAACAGACCACCCCAGGTAAAGAAATTATCAAATTAATTTAATTTACAATTTCCTTTCTCTCACCAGCTATTTTTTCCTTAGTAAACAGTTATCCAGTCTGAAGCTATAAGCAAACTAAACTTAGCAACAAAATCCTATGCATAATAATTTTCAACATTTTCTTTATAGCCAGCCAATCCTGACCTGTACCCCACCTTGCCTATATTTCTTGACCACACCTACCTACTCACCTTTTTTTCTTTTTTCTTTTTTTTTTGGTCCAGGGATCGAACTCCGGTCCTTACGCTTGCAAAGCAGTGGCAAAACCACTGAGCTAAATCCCTGGCACCTCACCTATTTTTTTTTTGAGAAGCTCTCAATAAAACTTCTTGGTTAGCAATTTATCCAGTTCTCTCTCCTACACTTGGTTTTCACCTCTGTGTGGTCAGCCTCTACAGACCTAGACAAAGGAGAGAGGAGTTTAGTGATTTGGTCTGAGAAATCTACCACTTTATCAGGTCTCATTCTCAACCTCAATACACATCATGAACCCAAATCTGGAGCAACTGCAGATTCAGACTGAGCCTTGGGAAATGCAGGTGAATCTTGGCTGTTGGGGTGATGACTGGGGCTGATCAGCCAAAGGTTGGGAGTCACCCTCAAGTCACACTTGCATTCTGGCCCCGGTGTCAAGTTGTGCCTGTAGTAAATAAGTCCATGTCTTATTTTCAAAGCATAGCTCCAAGTCACCCTTCCAGCTTCCTGCCTCCCAGCTCATTCCAAGTTCCAGTAATTACATTTCAGCCCCTTCTTCAAAAACAGTCCAATTGTGATCCCAACACTAAGACCTCTCATCTTGTCCATCTAAGTCCCTGAATTTCTCAGAAGCCGGTCACTAGCCTTCTTCCACCAGCACCTCTAGAAGCTTCCAGCTATCAAAATCTCCAGCTCAGACTGAGAATTTGAAACCAACTGCTCTCTTATCCTGATCTCTGAGTTCAGCTCCATCCAATCCATTCTTCATCCCTGAGTTCAGCATACTATGGCACATGATGCTATTTCTTATTATTGTCCAGTTATTGCTAACACTTTCTTATGGTGAGACTCTCAACACCCGTTTTACTTTAGCCTCCACAGCTACTTTCACTTCCCTGTTCCTACCTCCATTCTGTCCTTTCTCTTACCCTTTTGGAAAAATCTAGCTGTACGATCAGTCTCTCCAACATGCCCATCAGAATCCTGAAGATAACAGGGATGGTTACTCAGGCCATGAGTCATGAGATCTCACACATGATCTAAGAATTACCAACCAATTAGCAGAAAGAAGGCTGTGCACTGATCTGAACAGACACAAACACTGAGAAAATGTTCTGTACTTATCTATACCTCTTTATCCCTCAACTAAATTCATAAAGCCAGAGAAAATCCAGTCAGCGTGGATATGACACCTATCTCTAAATTAATCAAATATATCTATGCATTAAAAGACTCCTAATAGATTTAAGAATTACAATCGAGCACTTTAATAGCAGAAATGAAACAGAGGTATCTATACAAATGCTCAAAACTAAAACCCAATACGATGGAAATGCCTTCCTTTACCTTGGCCTTTGCCAGAAATTAAAAAAAAACAAAAAACAAATCACTAAGATGAAGAAACCAACCAAAGGAAAAAAAAAGGAAGCCAAGCCAGATTTTCTACAGGAAAATACCCTGTCATGTCACTGAAACTAAGAAGGAAATGTTATACGGAAGAGTAACACCTCCTGAGAGAAGTTATCTCTCCCATCAGACCTACCACATGAAATCTGACTCAGTAGTAATGGATGTCATGTGTCCTTTTCAGGTGTTTCCAGGAAGCAAGAAGTCTGGGCCTTATCAGTCTTTGAACTAAATTTTACTCACTGTCAAGTTCTTTAGAAAGATCCGCCTACCACTAAAGATGGATCAGTCCTCATATCTATTTCTTATTTTATTCTCAACCATATACAGCCCATGAGTTTTCATTAGAGAATGAACTGATTTTCAGTTATTTCTATGTTTGAAGAACAAACCATCTTTGTAGTTTACCTCCGGTTATACTACAGCGGGCAACCTCATCACCCTACTTCACTTATAATTGTTTTCTTTTCTCTACAAAGTTAGCAGATGTCAGGAAGTCCTGTGCGGTTCCGCTGGCCTCATCTTTTCAGTGACAGAGCAATGTGAAGAATAGTGGTCATGAATCCATTCTTCAGATAAGCAAGCTTAACTCAATGGAAATTAATAATCTATTTCACACTGTACTTTTAGTTTATCATAATTATTATCCAAGTGTAATGACAGGAATGTACAACTGAAACAGTCTGTAGCATTTTCTATTACCACCTTCCATTTTCCTGAATCTCAGGCTCAATAGGTTTATTTCTTTTCACTCTCCTGGAAAATTGATTTCACTCCTTTGCCAGTGGTATTTTTGCTTTCCTTCACTGGTTCCTGGCATTGCTAATGCCCATAAATGCTGAGGCAGATAAGATAGTAATAACATTTTCATGTGCTCGATCAAAACATTCATTATGAAGCACTTTTACCCCTATAATCTATTTTAATTTTGTTTCTCAAAATAGCCCTGAAATAAGAATACAAGATATTATTATTCATCCCAGTTTGCAAATTATAAAATTTAGGCTGTAAATGGTAACATAACAAATGTCACCAGAGTGAAGCTAATATATAAAATCTAAGTCTTTAGAGTCCACTCCTCATACACTTCTCTAATGCTGGCAATCGCCAAAATGATAGTGTAAATAACCTGAATTATTCAACAGTAGTAGGACAGTGTTCTGGATTTCTACAATAAAGAAGCAAAGAACAAAGGATAATTTTGCCTCCATCTGAGAACCTAGATTTCTTCTTATAAAAATCAAATCAAAACAATCAAATTGTTGTTATTTCTCTTTTCAATATGGGCTACTAGGGAGCTCAAAGCCAAAGAGGGACTACAGTTCGGTACAGGATCCTATAGCCTGTACATCTATATGTACTCTAGTTTTACTTTTTTTCCCCTGAATAGCTGCAAAAGCAATTTCTCCATTTCTTCTAAGAATATTCTTAGAAGGAAAATGAAAATACTTTAAATGATTTCAAGGTGACCAAATAATGAACTACTAACCCAGTTGAACCCAAGTCTTTTAAAGAAATAAACAAGATGATAAACAATAAAAACCTGTGAGGGGCTGGGGATTTAGCTCAGTGGCACCTTGCCTACCTCTTAAGTTCAAGGTCCTGAGTTTGATCACTGGTACCAAAAAAAAAAAAATCCTTGGAAATCAGGCCAGATTTTACATTCCAGCCTTTCTACCTACCACCTCTGCCACCTTGAATAAAGCTGGTAACCCCTCTAACAACCAAACAGAGGTGCTATAAGGACAGAGCGAAACTGAGGGAGATGGCATAGGACATCAAATTCATGCATTTTCCTAGAGCTGAAATGCTGAACTTGCCACCTCTCTTGCAGCGAGACACACCCAGATGGCGCAGTCATGACCAAAGTCACAGAAGCAGGCATCTGTCAGGATTTCTTGTTCTGTATCCTCTTTCTTCCTGCTGGAATCCTGGACCCAAACTGGTCATCTCCTTGGGCATCAGCTAAGGATGAAGGAGCAGGAGAACAGGATCTGGGTGTTTGATGGCACCACATAACTGGCATCCCACCTCTGAATGACCCACTCTGTAATTCCTTATTGCTTGAGATAAACAAGCATCTTTTGGTCTCTAGAGGTGATCACATTGCTGTTACAAAGCAGCCGGAAGCAAGCCTAACAATATCACCTGGCATAAGCCTGGCAGAGATGGCAGAGACCCATCCCTACCACACATCAGTCCCTTAGTGTCCTTCCAGGTGGAAAGGTATGTGCTTGGGAAAATGAGTACAATAGTATCATTGTTACGAGGTATGATCCAAATTTCACTAGGAAAAATTTTTTTGTGGGACTCAGGACTGTCCAGGGGCTCAGAAAATTCTACTAAGCACATCACTGTGAAGAGGGGGAAATGTGTATTTTCATTTAACAAGGGCATTTTGAAAAAACTATTTCCAAATGTCCTACCGGGCTTCCCGTAAGCCAAAGACACTGCAGGCCCTGGCCCAGTGGAATACAACAGACTCTATGGCCACACTGAGCAGCTAGAAATGAGCGTCCAGGTCGGGCGCATTAGTGACATTCTGTGATTCTGCACATGACATTGGGTGAACGCTCAGGAACAAGATGGGTTTGTGACTGTGAATGGTGACAGAGAATGATGCAAAAGAGTATTTTTCAGATTCTATCAGTTCAGATGTGGTTTCTAACATTCCAGCTACTCCCCTTCTCATTTCCAAGGAAAGTTATGCTCTTCCTGAGCAATGTATTTTAGGCCAAAATAGACTTTTACTCAGTAATCCCTGGAAACCCTGGACCATGCAAGGAAGCAGGAAAAAGCAAATCCTAATCCCAAGGATGTGGCTGGTGTTCTTAAAGTGAGAACACCACCACACTGTCCTCTCCAAAATCTCTCTCTTTCCCTCTCTCTCTCTTTCTCCGCATACTTTAAAATTTCTATGTGACAGTTAAAACTTGCACTTTGTGCCTAATAATATCCAACAAGTATTTCACCAAAGCATTTATATAAGGAACCCCTGACAAACATAAGTAGATAGAAACAAACAACCCTATTAAGTGGGAACCAATTGCATAAGCACAAAAAGGAAAAACTTCTTGCTCCTCAAAGTCTCACAAGATGGTAATGGTATCAGCAGTGAAGGACTTTAAGGAAACTGTAATGTATTAAGGTGTAGGCAGGCAGGTAAGCACAGTATGTGGCGGAGTAGAATAAATTTGATCAGGAGGCTACAGGAAGTTGCAGGGGATCCAAATAAGAAGCAATTCAACTGCAGTCACAGAGCTCCAATGTGGCACTTCAAAGCACACAGTGACTCTGCAGTCCCCTCCTGAGGACACAGAGCCCAGGACAGAACTGGTTATCACTCTACAGCATACACAGCACTTTTCTCCTTCTATTGCATCTTAGCAATAAAAACAACAAAAATGTTGGGTAAACGTAGGCAAAGGGATAACAGCCCTAACAACGATGGCTAACATGTTTTAAGCTCTTAGGAGAAAAGCATAAACATTTAGCTATACAATCTGAGTCAGAGAACGAGTGGGCATTGTGCTGAAACTCCAGGAATGGAGGGATGCTTTCTTCACACAGATAACAATGAACCAGGACCATTCAGCTACATTTTCCCTTAATCTGCACAGCTATTTTCTTCCCACAGGGAACAGGAATGAAGGATATTAATTAACTGGCAACTTAGTTTCCTTAAAACAAACTAGAAACATTTTGCTAACAAATGATAATGTGTAAGGACAGAAGGAAATACTTCATCCTTTCTGTGATGTGAATGGTTTCCCAGGATTTTTTTAAATTAGTCATTTCAGAATCTCCCCCCAAAAATACCTATGTAACTTAAATGTATACATTCACGGAATTTTTTTAGCCTTTTGTATTGACTCTGTACATGCACAATGCTGTGATGGCTTCTGGTTCTTAAGGGAATTTTTTTTCCTTTTTTATTCAGGGATGGGCCCTTGATCTTGCAATGGACACAAAGAGGTACAGAATTCATTTGCACATATTTTGTAAAGGAAATGTTTCCTATCATCCTGCTGCTGCAACCGACAGATAAGATGGGAAGCTAGTTTATATTCTTTAATCATCTCTTTCCTTCAAATCTATTTTTCAGTATAAAGTCAGAAGTCACTTGGTATGGCTGAAAGCCCTCATCTATTAAAAAGCCTCCTTTGAATTTCCCTTAACAGTTTTCTTGCTGTTAAAGAAGACTGCTTCCTTATCTCTTCTTCATTTCACAGCTAGTTAGTATCAATTTTTGTACACAGACGATCGGTGGACTGGCTTGCTCCTATTCCATCCCACCCTTTTTCCAGCTTCCTGCTGAAGCTTGAAAGTTAAGAATGCTTCTCCTGGACTTGGCTACAACTCGTGATTTGGATCCAAGTTCATCTTTACTTATTAGACACATCTTAAGGACACATGGAAGGAGGAGGAAAATCAGGACCCATCTTCTGGCCGGTTTCTGTTGGAAGCTATTGTAGCCATGCCAACAGCAAGGACAATTGGAACTTCCTAGCAATCGGACCACAGTTATGCCAGCAAGTTCTTGCACTCAGTAATCCTAGGATCCACCTCGATTCCAGCTTCTCCACTCTGCCAGTGGCTTTTTCAAGCACCAGTTCCCTATATGAAATATCCTTCTGTCAGAAGTATCTGAGGAGACTTTTGCACCTTGCCCAAACTCTGACTAACACAATCATACTTCTCCTCAGATTCAGGATGTACCATATGAACCAGAAAAATATTAACAACAATGTTTATATGATGCTTTGTAGCATACCAAGTACATTGGCATACATTACCTAAATTGATCTCTGTGAATAAATAGGACAGGCGCGCCTCTATCCATAATACAAATGAGAGGGCTGAGTTTCAGAAGATTTGGGTGACTTATCCAAAAAGCATTAGTAAGAGATGAAGACAAAATTCAATTTCAGATTTTATGACTCTTAGTCATTTGCTTTGACATGAGGAAGCCTCCTGAGGTCAAATGAACAATGTAGAGAGAAAGCACATGAATATTGGCATTTAGTTAAACTATTTCCTTAATTTTTTTGAAAAATCATCATTACATTCTGAAACCATTCAATTAGACTAACACGCATAAAGATGAGCTATTATATGCAAGCTATTTCATACAGACTGTTGACTTTGTATCTGGTAGGACCTGTACCTCAAATTTATAGGATCCAATAAGGACTCCGGCTATTTATTAATAGAGAGACAAAAGGTCAACCGCACTTTATAACTCTGACCATGAATGTTTTCTGTATAGTCATCTGGCCCACCCAAGAGTGGCTAAAGACCTGTGAAGGTCAAGATTCACATCTCAATTTCTCCCTAGTGGCAATTTCACTGAAGATCCTCATCCCCTAACAAGGATCCCTAGAATAAAGATTTCACAGCTAGTTAGTATCAATTTTTGTACATTTTTTTCTCTGCTTCTTGCCTACAATATATTCTAGTAAAAGATTTTATTTCAATGCTTGGGAAACCAAGAAGAAAAACATTAAGTAAATAAAGCTTGATGGAGCACTTTAAAAGTGGTCAAATTGAATTCTTTCTTTTCATATCCGCCACACCTCCACTTCCCAGCAGTCATATAACCATGGGGTTAAAATTCAAGAGTTCTAACAGACAGATTCTCACCATATGGTCCCCACTCGCAGAAAGCAAGAGAAGTCCTAAGAAGACATCCCAGTACCACAAATCATCATGGTCCTTCCACAGCCATCCTCAAAACATTAGAATTTCACAATTCCCTAACCATTCTCTGCATGCTTCCTTCAGTTTCACGTGACTTGAATATAAAGGGTCAGGAAAAGTGTAACTCTATAATTTCCTATTGTTCTATAACATCTTACTTCCATCCTTGCATCAAAACATTATGAGTTATCTACAACAAAAATGCCAGATGTAAGGAAAAGCACTTAAAATTAAGAGGAAAAGAAGGTCCAAAGGGTTAGGCAAAGTCAAGCACCCCTTTCCTATGATGTCAAGAAATATAAAAACTTCACTGAAATGCAACAACTATACTAACCTGAGGGAAGAGGGAATACGTTGAATTGTCGATGGTGAATGAGTACAAGAACTCCCCGTCATACCACATGCTCTTCCCCATGGGGGAATTCATTTTAGTCATAGCAAAGAGATGGGCGGGGTCGCAGCAGTCTTCCATTTGTTTCCTAGGAGAGAAAACAGAGAAAGAAAAGAACAGCAGGTTAAGTGAGCAGCAGACTCATTCACTTATCATTCCCACAGAGATGTGCAGCCTTAGCTCGGAGCCAGCTCACAGAAGCAGCAGCGTCTCCACGGTGATTAGACTACTATTAATTCCCTCTTCCAGCCATTGAAATGCATGACTGGAATATTTCATAACAGAAAAAAGCCTAAGAAAAATACACCACCCCTCAGGTGCAGCTGAAATATGTCTAAAGGGAAAAATAATCATTATGGTTGCCGATTCATTGATCGGTCCCAACATCCAGGTCCAGAAAAAAGACTGGAAGAACTGACACTGGAGAGTGCTGAACTAGTTAGCCACGGCAGAGATACACCTGTGTCCTGACTTAACAATCAGGTGAGTACGTTCAGTAAGGAGGGGCTTTGCATGAGCTATACAGAAGTGAGTGGCTGAAAAAGAGAGTCTGCTTCCCAAAACTGGGGACAAAATTATAGGCCTCATCAGAAGCCCCTCTGACAGAAACAAGAAAATGATTGATGTAGTCTCAGGTGGTAAGGAGCCGTCCAATCCTGTAGGCCTCTGCAGCTCTCAGGTTGGCCTCTCAGGAGTGCCTGGCAGAGATGGGCACCATGACCGACCGCTGCAATGGCCTCCCCTCCTTCCCTCTGTCTGAAGCACCAGCCTCTTCTAAGTCACCTCGCTGTGCCAAGCTGCCCGGCTGACTTAACCCCTGGTGGCTCCTCAACTACAGGCGCTGTCCCTGCCCTCTGGGGCAATCTCATACCCAACTCTGGTACTCACTAAATTTCCTTAGTACGAAAGCTTCCTCTCCACCGCTACCTCTAGAAGACAAATACAATGAATTGCTGACATAAGCCACTTCTGATGGTGTCTCCAAGCTCAGACATCTTTATCCACTCGTGGCACAGAAGCTTGGCGCTGAAAGGGGACAGCAGAGAGAAGCACTTGACTTCAAATCCAGGCTCTGCCACTTACTAACTCCAGGACTAGGGAGAGTTACTAGGCCCCAGAAACGCCCTTAAAACCCGTTTCTGAGAATTTGCTAAGAAGATTCAGGTAGAGCAGAGTAAAGGGTCAATGTGTGTTAGGTGCTGTGCTCCCTGAAAAACTCATGGTGAAATTTAACTGTCAGGGAAACAGTATTGGCAGGAAGGGTATTTAAGAGATGTTTAAGTCTGAGCACTCTGCTTTTGTGATCAATTAAGGCCAATAGCACAGGAATGAGTTACTGTGATAGTGGGCTCCATGGCTTTCTCTCCCTCACACGCCTCCTCCCTGGAGCAGCCTCACCACGTGATGCCCTCCACCATGATGTGAGGCAGCCAAAAAGCCCTCACCAAAGTCCGGACCCAGACATTGGGCTTCCCAGCTCCAGGACTAAAATTTCATTCCCTTTAAAATTACCCACTGTTGGGCTAGGGATTTAGCTCAGCCGCCCCGCACCTGGCCTTGCAAGCTCAAGGTCCTGAGTTGATCCCTGGTACCAAAAAAAAAAAAAAAAAGAAATTATGCACTCTATGGTATTCTACTACAGTAGCTGAAAACAGACTAAGACATTAGGTACTGTCATTATTATGCAGCCCCACTGGTGACAGGAATACGCATGGCTAGGGAGGTCACAATGTCACAACGTGGCAGCCTGGGACAGACCTGCCAGAGCTCTTCCCTCCTGGCTGGAACTTCTCTTTTTCTGTCAGAGGTCTTGGCTGACTTCCCCATCACAGAGGTTTCTGTGGGAAGGAGGATGGGGAGGGGACTCAGCAAGAGAGTCTCGGTCTCATCAAAACTGCTAGGATTTGTGTCACTTGTTGCACCTGCATTGTCATTCCATCCCTCCTCAGCTGCTCTTCTTTTTCCTTTCTCCTCCACTTTCATGAATTCTCGTCAGCATTTTTCCACCATGAGCTGAACACAGAGCCAGGCCTGCCAGGTCCGAGTCTGAGCCTTTTCCTGTCTACATGCTTCCTGCTCTGAGACCCTCTCACTCAACCCTCCCTCTCTCTATCCTGAAGGAATGCCCTGCAAACACTGGCCACACGCCTTCTACACACCAGCAGCTTTCACAGATGTGTTCCCACTTAACTCTGACAGGAATCCTGGACCTGGAGAGCTTTGGGATTCTTCTTTCAATAATTTATCTCAGGTCTCATAACCAGTAAAGCAGATGAACATGACTTCACTCTCAGGCCTTTACCTCATATCAGCACTTAACTTCCAACCAGGCTGTAGCTCTCACCCCGAGACCAAAGCAAATTTGCCATTTAGTGCACAGTGCTATGGGAAATTCATAACAAAAACTGGCCACAGCCATATGACAACACCTTTGCTTACAAACTGCTTTCATGTTTGTTTCCTCTTTCATCTCCCTAAGAAGAAGATAGAGCCAGTTACATTATTTGGAATTCACAGACAATGACACTGATGTGCAGCCCAGGAGTCCTCAAGTTCACTAAATTGATAAATGTTCTCTTAGTTATTGGCAAAATGTGTGTTAGATGATACAGAATCAAGTCTACATCTCTTAACACAGCATCTCCATACTCACGGCAATCATGCCTTTAGTAGAAAAAACCAAATGCTCTACCAAAAAAATGAACAGTGGTACATGTATACAAATATTTTTAAAAGTACAATAGGTATAATTAATTCATAATGATCTTGCTGCTACTCGCAATACAGGTTTTTCTATCCTAAATTCTCAAACTTTTCTCTCCACCCAGAATGCCTCCCCACCTTCCATGTCTCATGCTCATCTATAGAGGGGGGCCACAGAGGGACCACAATGTGAAAGTGTGCACGCAAACTCCTCCTGGCTAAAAGTGGCCTAAAACTAACTCCCCAGTTACACTGGTCAATACCAGCAGCATCAAAACCAGTACTCATGCTAGTACTACCAGCAGGGGCAGGAGAGACAGTAGAAGTAATGATTTTTACTGAGATCTTACCTAACACTGCGCTAGGTTCGTGGGATATAAAAGTGGACAGGAAACCAGACTTGCCTTCGAAAATATAATTAAGAAGAAAGCAACCAAGCTCAAACTACAAACGCCAAAATAAAAAACTGAGAGTTCATCAAACTTAAAAGCTCTGCACAGCAAAGCAAACAATCAACAAAATGAAAAGGCAACCTATGGATGGGGAAAAATATGTGAAAGCCACATATGTGATAAGGAGTTAATACTCAAAATTTATAAAGAACATTTACAACTCAACAGCAGAAAAACTAATAACCCAATTAAGAACTGGGCAAGGGCCTTGATCAGACATTTCTCCAAAGAAGACATAAAATGGCCAATGCATATATGAGAAGATGCTCCTCACTCATCTTCAAGGAAATCCAAATTAAAACCACCTCATACATGTAAAGATGGCTAGAACCAAAAGGTAGGGGGGCATCAGAGACGGTGTGGAGAAAAGGGAATCCTAAAGAAATTAAACTTAGAACTGCCAACTGATACAGTAATGCCTCTTCTGAGTATACACACTATGGAGATGAAATCACCTTTCATAACGATACCCTACATCCACTGCAGCATTATTCACAACAGCAAAGATGTGGAAACAAACTAAATTTCCATCAACAGATGAATGAAATGCAATATTATTCCACCTTTACAAAGAAAGAAAGTTTGCCCTTTGCCTCATGGATGGACCTGGTGGGCATTATATGAAGTGAAATAAGCCAGGTACAGAAAGGCAAATATTGCCATTATCTCACTTACAAGTGGAAGTGGAGTCTAGGGAAAAGAAAAGATTGTACAGATAAAGAATGAAACAGTAATTGGCAGGAACAGGGTTGAAGGTGGAGAGGAAATGGGGAGATGTAGCTCAAAGGATACAAACTAGCAGATATGTAGGATAAGCAAGTTTAGTAATCTAATATACAATATATAGGTAACAAAATTATAATGTATTAAGGATTTTTAATGTTGATTTTAGCTGCTCGTCACAAATAAAAGTAACTATGACAGATATACCTTGCTTCATATAGTAACCACTTCACCCTCTCTATGTATCCTGTAATATCATACTATAAACCTTGACTATATATATTAAATTTATTTTTTTAAAAAGAGGAAGGACCACCAACAATGAAGTTAGGACTTGTGTTCAGGAAGACATGCCAGAAATGTACAGGTATCTGTGGCTTGTTGTTGCTCAGGGGAAAAAAAGGTCATTAAGTGATATCCCAGGGTTCCAAAGAGAGTTTCCCACTCAGATTTGTGACCTGGAAGAAACTGGCAGCATGAAGGAGGAGGCAAGTCATCCAGGCTGGGAAGCAGTCACAGAGGCAAGAGAAAAAAAGACGCAATCCCAACAAGATTCATCAGAATACACAGTACAAATATTAAGACAGTGATCCCTAAGAAATTGTTGTGTTGAGTAATGCGCTCCAATCTTCTGGACAGAAGATTACAGCCTTTAGAATTTTTAGCAAACTTGTTTCCCATTCCCTTTCTTATACTTTGTGCTGATGATGTGTAATATCTGCTTCTCTTCTATGGCAAACAGAAGGTCAAAAAAGCAAAAGGGAATTCAGTTTTATGTTCAAATTTCAATTTGTAGATCATTATGTTTCATTTGCGTGTGAGCTGACTATTGGAATTAAAATCTAAATGGTTTTATTATGTTTATTTCACTCTCAGCCGTGGTCATATCTGATGATGCTGCAGTTGTACTACGAGGATAAATACGTATGAAGTGTGAGAGCCACTTGTTAAAAATCTCACTTGGGTCTCATCCCTCCTAATGGAAGCCATGTGGCCCAATTAAGCCATGAGATCCTCGTCTGTTTGTTGCTCCTATAGACCAGAGTAGACTGAGATTTTGCAAAATCTGAGCAAGCGAATAATGGTAAAAACGTATAATGCCTCATGTCAAAATGAACCTTGTTGAGATTTTTTTCAGATGCCAAAGGCAATGCTTTGGTCACAAGACATGAAGGAAGCTGGCAGGCTGCCACTCCAATGACTGACACTG